TTTTTAAAATGTCGGGCAACGACAGTTTCCTTTTCCCTCGTAAACGCGTGAATCTCTGTTACGTATAAGTATAAAGTATATATACATACACATGCATATGTAACGAATAAGATAAATATATATATATATAAATATAAATATAAATATATATTATATTATAATCGTCACGCGCTGGACGACGCGACGAGATGTATCTATGCGATTAAAGGTTCAATAAATGTGTTTAATTAAAAACAGTTTGATCCGAACAGTCATTATATAACCTTGTTAATAATAACAACCATTTTTAAAAGCGATGACATCACGTGAAAATCATCAAGATATTTAATTTTTCGAAATTTCGGAAATCCTTTATTCTTTACAATTATCCAGAAAATTGGAATGTACAAAAAACACTTTCCTCTCGAAATTCTAAATTCTTATTCTCTCTAAGAAAGAACGATCGTTAGAAAATTAGAAATTAATCATCGAGAGTATTCTTCACAAATCACAAATATCTCGAAAATTTTTTATTCCCTCCAAGAGAAGAACAACAATCATCCAGAAAATTAGACACCTCACTGAAATTCCCTCTTCCCTACAAATCCACGGAAATCCAAGATTAAATTTTCCAGGAGAGAGGGAGAAGAATTAGAATCATTGGCGGATCGAAACCGGGCGGAAAAAAGTGGAATTGAATTATAACCTAGTGTAATAACGGGGGGAACAATGGACGGCCGCGATCCTTTGTCACCAATGGAAAACTTTCCCTATCTGTTGGAGCACGTTTCCACGTGGATCGACACGCGAATATACACTTCTTTATGCAAAGAAGAACGCGACGCGGAACCGTGGCCTAATTCACGCGTCAACACGAAACTTAAACGTCGTTTGTTTGTCGAAGCGGGCATTCATTCCGTTTTATCCGTCACACCTTTCATTCATCGATGGAACTCTCGATGGAATGGAAACGACCAAACGGCTCTACCTTTGTGGACAATTATCATTACTTCTCTTTTATCGTCGAATGGAAAATTCCAATTTTAATCGGCGAGGTCCAGGATGGAAATGATGGAAAAATAATGGGTGGTTACTTTCCAATGGAATTATTTCCGAATCTCGATAATATTTATATAATATTTTAGACAAGACGAGAATCTTTTTAGAATTTTTCGTTTATATAGAAAAGAACGAACAGTTGTGTTATGTATGGAATGAAATTTGTGATTTGGAAGTGTAGCATTTATTTCATAATACAAAAAGGAACATTATATTTTAATAACATGTGGCACGCGATAATATCTAACGCGCATG